CCCGCCTCCCCCGTGTGCAGTGTGTAGAGCACGAAAAAGGAGAGCGGCTGGTGGACTCGAGAGTGTCCCCGACTGTAAGTGAAACCTTTCGTCTCTGGCGAAAGCGCTCGTGCCGCTGACGACCAACTTATCCGCGCGAAAGAAAAAGCCACCGATGGAAATAACACACTCGACCGGCGGTCGGTGTCTCCCGCGAACCTGATCGATATCTAAAGCTGGATGCCTGGCGCCTGTCTACCTCCGAGTGCTCGGCCTGAAAGCTAAAGAAGAACTCGCGTAGAGTTCGTCGGTTGCTTCGAACGACACTGCATGTTATTTAATATTTAGCTACCTCGCGCTTTAGTAAACGACGATCGGACAGTTTCGCACGATTGAAGGTAACTACGGTCGTTACACGATTCGCTCGATCACGTTAAAAGAATAACGACCAGTGTGGGGCCAGTCTTTACACGACTGCACGCTTAGATAAGATAATACCCGATTATCAAGCCCGTGAAATATAGATTTCGAGTAGCGGGAGAAAGTAGCCCGAGAAGGGTAAACAAGTGTTGCAGCCAAGGGTGAATAACACGGCCACCTGTCCACCACTGCGATCTCAAGATTCTTCCTAATTAAAACGTTCAAGCATTTCGAGGATCCTCCAAGTTGCCAGGAGGTCGACAGGTATTTTACTCAGACCGAGGAAATGCCTCTCTCGCGTGGTCTGTCTCTGTGTTTGCCTTTGCAATCGGCGTTCAACTGTCGCAACACCGCATGAATCGTAAACCCTTGACAAAGGCCTCGTTGCGGCCCCCATCGCCACGACACAGCATTGCGCCCCGCTGTGCAAAGAAATACGGTGGGCAAACAAACGACGCGAGACACGGCGTAAGTCGTGTAGCGTTTGCAACGCTTTCGCGATTCGAACAAGGACGAGGGAACCGTAGGAATGCATGGGAAGAAGCGGAGGGTAGGGCGTTTCTCTTGTGCAAATTTGCCTTCGACCTCGTTTCGGAGATCAGGGCCACCTTCCGCGTGCTCGTTGCTCTTCAACCGACCGCTCGAACTCTCTAACCGGCGATATTCGAGTAACGCGCTCTGCCTGATCGATCATTGGCCGATTCATCCACTTCGCAGTCGGCTCGAACCGGAAACCGGGTCGAATCACGGCTTATCGGCCAACCCGAATTACGCTGTAAACGCGATTAAACGAAAAGTCGAGAGGCTCGCCGGTATACCCTGGCAAGCGAGAAGCCTCGTTCCCGACCGATAAATCTCGACTGGCGAATTTCCATGCTCCAAGAGTGGAAATTTTCATGGATCGACGAGAATCCGAGGATCGGTAAAAGAGATGGGTGTAATCGAGTAATCGGTAAGCGTTTGAGGAAAATAATAGGCGGCAGTTTGATTTAGTTTGACTCCGATCGGCTAAAAATCGATCTACGTAGAGTTTCGGCTAAAAGGCTACAGACAAATGTAAGGTAAATCCAATTTCGTAACCGACCAGGCGTGGATGTTTGACTGTTGAAGATGGTGCAAGCCTGGCAACCTCCGACCCCGCTGTTTTGATCTCTGAATAAACGTGACCAGACGTTTCATCTTCGAAATGAACGGCGAAAATCGCAGCCAGCGGCCGCTTTCAAAGCTGCTTTGTGCCGTTTTCCGAATATCCTGGCGAAAGCTGCGCTAATGTTGACTCACGGTCGTCTACAAAGCCTCCGTGAGTGAACCGGAAGTCCGCTAGTCCATTGCAAACGTACTCTCGTTCTTCGATACGTGGTGAATCACGAAGCTAGCTTCTAAAATTCCCACTCGTGTCTATTTAACGTGGATCCATCTCTTTGCTAGCGTCCGAAATCAGGAACTGCGCGTAGTTTGATAGATTTAAACAATCTATTTCAATTTCCTCGTTCTCAACCAGCCTTCTCTTCGAGAGTCAGGCACCTCGATCTCGATGTTTCTTCGATGATAAGAGCGAGCCTCGATGCGTCTTCGTGAACGAACGGTAAGCTCTCTAGGCTGGGTAGAGCGATAAAGCTTGATCAACGTCGAGGAAGGGCGGTAGATTTAAGAGGGCGAGCCTCGCTAAATCCTGGTCGCAGCCGCGACGCTAAGCCTGCCAGCAGCCAGACGAACCTCGAACACGAGATCGATTCCGAGGACCGGGGGTAACGCGGCTGACTTGCGTCGCGACGCACCACCTGCTTCCTCGTTGCGGCACATGCAAACAGAACGGGGAATAGAGATCTGCAACTAACGATAAATACTCGGCCTAAATGCACTAGATGCTACCCAGAGGACGACGTTTTCTCATTCTCTCGCTTTCTCTCTCTCCTTGTTTTTTCCTCTTTTCTCAACGGACGAAGAATATTTCGGTTAAGTGAGAATAGAGTCATCGAAAGTAGCCGCCGAGAGACGAATACCTTTACGTCGTTGTACAAACACGAAGAACAAAACTATGTCAGGCTATTTCCGGTGACTATCGATCGTCGATCGTCAGCTGCAAATAACGTAATGGTTAAGAGAAGTCGTTGACGAAGACGCGGACCGCCGGAAGTAGTCCTGAAATTGAACGTTGTCTCGCGTATCGTCGAGACCAGCACGTCGTTTAAATTCTTGAAATTCCGTGCCACGGTGCCGGAAGACTCGAACATCCTAGTATGATGTCGCGGACTACTTCCGGCTGATCACGAGGCGGCAAAAGCACCCGTCGATTAAAAGATCGTGAATGCAGGCTCACCGTTCTTCCGGCCAGTCGGCCATTGTTCTTTCATCGAGTAGAAGAGGAGGACGGTGATGGTGTTTGTTAAAGGTGATATTATTATTGTTTTTTTTTTCTTTTTTGTTCATAATAGCGGATATGGTGATCGTGATTGGTCTCGGTGATCGACTCAAGCGGTCTCCGATACCGGAAGCGGTGGCTGTCCACCGGAAGTAGTCATGGCAGGCGCGGTGTTGGTGGTGGTGGTGGTTGGGACCGGAAGTGGCTGTAGGGCCTGCATGTCACAGGTGTGGGAACCGCGCTTCTTTAGGTCCTGGAACAATTCGTATTTCGGATATGTTTCAATTTAGATTCTTCGTCCATCTACGTGTCTTCCTGCTTGCCCCCTTTTTCACTCGCTCTCACTCTCATTTTCTCCATCCTTTCTTCGCGAGACTCTCGACGAATCTCTCGTTTCTTTCACATTCATTTCCTTTCATTTGTTCCGTACCATTTCTTTACTCTCTCCTACATTCTCTCCCTTTCGATCATTCGTTTCAAGCACGCTTCCTTTCTCGCTCTCGTTCATTCTACCGTCTTTTCTCTTTCTACGTTTCTAGAGTAACTATTTATAATCGAAAATATAATCGTAAAGGCGTGTTAACACTACTTTCTACGTTTCCTCCCTCTCCCTCCCCCCTCTCCTTCTCTCTTTCTCTCTTTTTCAACGACGTTTATCCGCTTGTACACTTCCTGTCTGCGTTATTGTCTCAAGCTCCTCGAGTACAGTGATCCCTTCCGTTTCTCTTTAGACTTCGACACAAGAACGCAAGAGTTCTCAATCTCTAAATCTCTCGAGACCGAACAAGCTACCTCTGGCAGATAGTTTTCGCATGAAATGGAATGTGAGAGAGATGCGATCTCGCGTGACGTTACGCCTCGTGGCATCGATTGAATTTCGAGCGATGGATCTCTTTTTCATCGCGAACTACATTCTTAGAAAACATGGCAAAGAATCGTTAGAACGTTCAAGAATTCGCGGACAAAAAAAAAGAGAAAAGAAAAAGATAAAAAAAAAGGAGGCGAAGTTCCACGACACCACGAAGGTCGATTTCCGGTTGTGTATAGAGTATCGCGAGGCTAAAGATCGCGTACGAACGAGCGAAGAGAGATGTCGAGAGGAAGGGGGTAGAATGAAAGAGGCACTCGGGCCACGTGCAAATGCAATTCAGAGAGAAACAGAAAGTTCATGCGAAAAGAAGATACAGTGAGAAACAAGAAAACCACCATAAGAATGAGAGATCGAAAAAGCGGAACAACTTGGTGCTACCGACACAGAGATACAGTTTCAACAAAAACAACAATCAGAATATGTATAATACGTATTATGTATATCGAAACAAAGGAAATGGTAACAGCGATACAACAATAGCAATAAGAACAAGAAACGTTTACAATTAAACTGGGTGAACGGAAACAGATAGTATCCGTGTGTGAGAGAATGTGCGCTGCTATGAAGATAAAAGGGTGAAACGATCGATTCATAAAGAAACATGCCAGGTGCAATAAGAACGATCCTTTCGACAAGCCATTAATTGCAATACGTCTGTGACTTTGATTCGTTTCAACGCTGGTGTTTATTGGAACGACGCGTTTTCTGTTTTCGCAACGAATCCTCCTGCAATTCGTATGAATACTCATACTTTCTCCAAATCTACTCACGTGCGTAGTGTATTTTCTGACATTTTTATCGTCTTTTCTTTTCTTCCTTCATTTTCTTTTTTTTTTTCTTTTAATTCAAAGAATTACATATCGTAAAGGACGATTTGGAAGAATAATCGTTGCTGGTATCAGTTTTGACGTCAAACAGAAACGCATCTACGGAACGGTGCATTGCATACAGGTGCATTCAAATTTGCTCTGAGGATGTGATACATACGTCGAAGCTTCGTCACAGCGCTCGGTAGTCTGCTCAATATTTTTCGGGCGTGTGCGAAAATAATAAGCGGATCTTTTTATCGGCGAAGCTTTCGGTTTGGCTCGCTTTATTTCTCACGTCTCCTACTCATCGTAACGAGTTTCTCGAGTCAAGCGTCTTCAGAGTACGCGTTCGAATCGATTTCTCGAATCGAGAAAAAAGGCGATTAATAGTCGGTCCTTTACAACGATGAATTCGTTTATGGTCCCTAGCCTCTTAGTGTGTCTTCGTTTCTCAACCTCATACGTCTTCTATAGTTAATTTAAAAACGCGTTCGAACCAGGAACCATAGAATCCATCATCATCGTCGGCCTCCGACAGTAGCGCTAGGTTAAGAAATAATAAAGGGAAACTTCTTTGATGTATTCATCGACGATATGAAAGTCCTATAGAAGCCTACGATCCAATAGACAAGGTTCTCTCGCAAGCTGCTCGTAAATAAAAAACGGGGACAGAAGCGGAAAAAAGGCAAGTCGACGCGTCCTCATTGACGGCTGCATGCAGACACCGTCGGATTTCCCGGGGAAAATTCGCCGACTACATCCGTACGCCGCAATGCGGTTCGTTCTCATCGTCGCACGTTCGTGCTGGTTCGCGTCTTCCTACGATATCGTTCGACAAGCGTCGTTAATCCTTTTCAACCGGCCTGTCCGAGATGTTCGTTCTTCCTGTCTAAGCGCCGCCTGCGACGCGGCTGCAACGGAGCAGCCTGAATTTAAGGCTCGTTCACGCGAGGAGAATTCACGTCAGTTAGTTTGCCGATATTATTAAATTACGTTTCAGACACTGATCAAACGGAGCTGTAAAGCCAAGTTAGAGAATTATACCGTAACATCAAAGCGAGATAGGTCACGCTAACGATAGTTGGCAATTTCTATTTGATATCGCGTGACGCAAACTTTATGCGAACCACTTTATACTGTGCAAAGTATCGCGTAATGCTTCTTGTTACGCTAACGACGTTCGCATTAACAATCTGACTCGGCCGAATTTAATATCCGAGTACGACCGTCAAACACATCGAACAGTGTCGTTGATCGTAAAGAAAGATCAATAGGTTACTGTGACAAATAATATCTTGAATGTTTAATACGTTTTAGCGGTGACACGCGTAAAAACTGATTCGTATCAGGAAAATGCATAGAACAGAAGAACGTAGAGTCAGAGAATAACAGAAAAATCTGTCGATAGTGAGATAAACACGAGTTCCTCGCGTGTACGAGCTTTAACAGAGGGTCACGTTGCTTCGTTTCGCCTGTGACGCACGAGACACGCGTGTTATTCTCTTTCGGTGGCACGTGCACGCGTTATTTCTGTTACGGCGGACCAGGTTTGTCGCGATTGATCGCGTAGGCTAGGCCGATGTTGCGAGCGAGCTCACGCAGTCTTGCAACGGCCAAGCAGACGCGTCGCTTTGCTTCTATCGCTAAATTTTCTGCGCTTGAATAATAAGATCGATACGATATGATACGGCTGCAAAGATGGATAAAAAATAAAGATGAAAGACATCTAAGGCAGTGAAAATTCGTGTCTCGCAAATGAGAATTCTTCGATGATATTTTGAAAGATAATGATATTGCGCGATGCTTTAAGAGCTACGCGATTACTTTTAAAGTATAGAAGATAGAAATGAAGATGTAAGAAGATAATGGCAAAGGGTAATTAAATTTCAAGCCGTCGAGGCACGAACGAAATTCTCGACGAATTTCTCGTCACAAAGGAGCTACCGGAATAGCGAAAATCTAGAGTTCGTGATACGTCGACGCACACGCGATGCGCACGTTTGCGCAGGGTCGCGCGGCATTAGCACAATACAAGGAAAACGCATTAGAAGGGCGTGATTTCGCCCGACGTCTTCCCTGTGGCCGGGTACATTAATCATCGGTTGCTACGAGGCACGGATGAGACGGCTCGCTTATTAAAGCTGGCTGAAGCCATTAGTCGCTTTACGCACAGCGGAAACTTTAAAGAGAGCTTGATCGTAAAATAAATCACGCGACTTAAAGGCTTCGAGACTGGTAAAAATTTCGAAACGAAAACGGAACACTCGTTGAATATAAGATGTGGCGAAAGTCGATGAAAATGTAAAGGCGATGAAATATAAAACGATTCAAAGTTGTCGTTACGAAGTTAAATTTAAATTACTTTCGTACATCTACTCTGCTACACCCAACGGATCTTTCTCGGTCTAATTATATTTTCTATGGTTAAAAGATTTTTAAAAGCATGGAAAATATGAAAAAGAGGAACCGTTGTTGAAACATTACGAGAACGCGAGTCTCTTTCTTTTTTTTTCTTTTTTAATTGAGAAAATTAGACCGTCGAAGTCCGAAGACCGTGACAGAGTTAAATGAAACTGTATGTAATCGTAAGACGTATGAATCGCGTTTCATATCGTATCGATATCATTTTCCTCCATTTAACGAACAACAATTCGCGATATTTCTCCAATAAAAACAGACAGCCGTCGTTTCTGCGAAACGTCACAGTGACACTTAAGGACGAAAGGAAGCGACGTATATATCTCGCGCGTCTTCGTCACGAACCCTTTGTCGCAACCTGCGTGTTTTTTCATCCCTCTGAAAGGCCTGAAAGCGTGGGACTACGGGCCGAACACAGGCTGCGAACAAAGGAAGAACGAGCGAATAGCGGACGTGACCGAAAGAGAAGCATGCGGCGTAAAAAGCGCGTAAACCTGCTTCGCTGGAGCCATATACGATCTTCCCCGAGTTTAGCCTGATCCGTCTTCCGGATTCCTCTTTGCCGGTGAACGTTCCCTACTCGCTTCGGTTGTTTAAGCGCCAGGGTACTATAAAAACAGGCAGTATATAAAGTATATTTGCCCCGCTCTCTCCTGCGTGTTCCGTTGCGATATAATTCCTAGCAACCTAGCCGCGATAGGAAGCTCGCTAAAGTAAAAGAAACTGGAGCTAGCAGCGGATTTTAAGCGACAACGGGTAGAGAGGGTACTTAGAGTGGGCGGAAAGGGTGGATAAACCGGATGAGCACGAATATACGAGTTCTATTTGGATGCAGACAGATGTGGGACCAACGAGGGAAGCGAAGAAGCGTAGCTGGAGCGCCAGAGAGATGCATAAATCAGAAGCCAGATCAAGAGTCAGCCGCAACACGGTGGGTTCGAGTAGGCACCATGCCAGAAGGTTTTCGTCTGTAGAACCATCGCGAAAGAAAGGAAAAGTAAAAACGCTCGTAGAGACGAACGTGCGAGAAAGAAAAAAAAGTCGGAGGTTCGTGGAAACAACGAAAAGATGGACAATCGATCGATAACGAAAGAAGAAAAGAAAACTGTGAGTCGAGAAACTAAAGGAGTTCGCGATTGAAATAGAAAACTAAAC